CCTACCCCACGCTCCCCCAACCCAACACATACACACACACCACACATACATCTTTAATTTGCTCATCCATTACATATTTTAAAGAAAACAAAGAGCCATTAAAAGGTTAAAAGCTTGGTATAAAGTAAAATATTTTTGCAGTATGAAAGGACCTTACAAATTACAACTAAATCTTTTGAAAGAAAAGTATCGGTCACCACTTAGTTTTCCAAGAAAAACAACAACAAAGGAACAATCTTTTTCTACCACAAGGGGATGTGATTGATTGATAGAGAATTCATTCATCTTAATAGGAGGGCTATTTTTTTTTCTCTTTCAAACGGATTCAGAATATAAAGAAGCAAATATACGGAAAAAATAAATAAGAAGATTCATCAACGTATATATAAGAAAAGTTGCATACCTACAATTAACATACACAATGTAATCTACAAGTGAGATTTGAGGAATGATATGCATGTAGATCTTACATCTATCTCGTAAAAATTATTTCCGATACGAATAGAGTAGTCTCAGCTCAAGTAAAGCATTTTAAAAGCAAGTAATTAAGACAAGAGAATACAATAGTAAAAAAGTCATGATAAAATTAATAATAAAAACAAATTTATAATATATTACCAAAGCAAACAAAAATGTCTAATTCAAGCCTTGATAAATGAAAGAAAATAATCTAGTTTGAACAACGCGACTTTCTTTTAAATGGGCCCTCCACGATACTAATCTAGATTAATCGAAATAATAAATTCTGAAATACCTCATGATAGTAAAACAAAAAAGTCTTTTTTTCTCTTTTCTTCTTGACTAGGGAACCATTAGATTTCAAAGACATTAAATCTATTACCCATACCCTAAGAATAAGAAGATGTAAAGTATAAGAGGGAACAACAAAAACCATATATATATAATTACATTATATTGTCTTATAACACATAGTCTTTTATGGCAAAACAAATTTAGAAAAAAAAAATATTTTACATTTTTTTTTCTTCATATTATATTTCGTTCAAAATCGAAAAAAAAGTCACAATATGGGAAGAGGGAAAGTAGAATTGAAGAGAATTGAGAACAAAATAAATAGACAAGTTACCTTCGCAAAGAGAAGAAATGGACTCCTTAAGAAAGCCTATGAACTTTCTGTTCTTTGTGATGCTGAAATTGCTCTTATTATTTTCTCTAGTCGTGGCAAACTTTATGAATTTTGCAGCAACTCAAGGTATGTATGTATTTTCATTGACACATTTTTTTTTCTAGTGTTTGGTAAGACGCTTAGGTCTTTAATATTTGATGTTGTTATATGAAAAAAGAATTTAATTGTCTTGAAGAATATTAGAGATGTTATATAAAGAAAAAAATCTCGATTTCTTTAAGATTAGAAATGTCATATCACTTAAGGGGAACTATTTTTTTTTTTTTTTGTATATGTTCTATTGTCTTTTAAGAAGGTTTGATATTTGATTAATGCTATATTATGAAAAAAGATTTTGATTTCTTGAAGATTAGAAATGTCATATCGATTGAGGGGTATCTCTGATTGTATATGTTGTATTGTTTGCTAAGAAGGTTTGATCTATAATTGATGCTATTTTATGAAAATGATTTTCATTTTTTAAAGATTAGAGATTTCATATCGATTGAATGGTACTAGCTAGCTTCTTAATTATCGTATTTATTCTATTGTCTGGTAATTTAGAAGATATGATCTTTAATTGATGCTACTCTATGAAAAAAATCTTGATTTCTTGAAAATTGGAGATGTTATATTGTCTGCTAAGAAGGTTTGGTCTATGATTGATGCTATTTTATGAAGAAAAAAGATATAATTGATGATTTGAGTTGTCACTAATATTATATTTATATTTTTAACCCGTGTTGAGGGGTTGTTTCTGTTGGGCAAAGTTATTGTTATTAGTAATATTGATTTAAAATACAGATTGCATAACAGTTTAATTCTTATAGTATATATGATCAAAACATCACAATTTTCTCAAAGATTAGAGATGTCAGTAGTACTATTTTTCTATTTTTAGACTTTTGATTGAAGGATGTTGCTTATCGTATTTATGGTAGGAGAAAAAATAATTTTGGACTAAGTTTTCCATATACTTTGACTTTATCATATGTTGAAATGTTGTCAACAAAGAAAATATTTTATTGGAACAAACATATGATCTAGGTTTTTTTAATAGATTATTACAAATTAATTATACCATTACAAATCAAGAATCTTGATGAATTTATATATTTAAAGATAAAGAATTAATTATTATAATTTTTATAAGGAATATATTAGTTGAGGGGAGTCTTTAATATCATGATTTCAACTTTGGTGTTGATTTGATGTCCACCTTCATATTTCTTCATTTTATGAAACTTTATTTTTCTTAAAGTACAGACATATATAAAGACAAGCGTGACAATTTTTCAATATAAAGCTGCATAAATTCTTCATATACTACATTATTATAAGCAAATAGAATATATTTAGATTTGATCATCATCTCTAGTATTGAAATTAATCACTTCTTTAATTTACTTTTAACGGATTACAATCGTTAAAATTCATTATTTTTAAAGAAAAATTTTAAATTCGAGTCTTGAGATGACATTTTTTTATGGATATTATCGAAAATCAAGATTAAATTCATATCAATATCTCGAGATTATCTATCCTATATAAAAAAGGTGAATTATAATTAGGAAAAAATGACAAATATACCTCCGAACTATCGTAAATGGTATGCAAATACCCTCCGTCATATTTTTTGGACATTGGTGCCCCTGCCGTCCAAAAACTAGAGCATATATACCCTTTATACTAACTGACATACATGTGTCATAATCTTATCCACCGACCGACATATATTAAATATTGGATTGACGGATAAGAATGTGTCACGTGTCCTTATTTAGTCTTTCGTCAGAGTGAAGGACATTTTTGCTCTAGTTTTTGGATGGCAGGGGCACTAATGTCCCAAAAATATGACGGAGGGTATCTGCATACCATTTACGATAGTTCGGGTATATATGTTCTTTTTCCCTTATAATTATCATGACCAAAGATAAATAAAAAAGGAAAAAAGAATTAATATCATCTTTTTCAAACTTTCACAAAAGTAATAGGGATCAAATCAATTAGTAGTACACTTTATCATGCATAAGAAATAAATTGTTTTAAATTATATTTAGACAATATTTGATCACGGTACGTATCTTGTAGTCCCCTACACTATTATTATCATTATAAGAAAGTAATACAAATTGCTTGATTTTCTATCATATTCTCAGTTCTGACTTTTAGAGTATCGACTAATTCAGAACTGTGTCATGTAAAAGGAAAGCACTCCCAATCCCAACTAAAATCTTTTTTTCGTTTTTGGAGGTCAAATTCAAGTATTCTGATTGATGAAAAGGATCATATTTCTATCTTATCACAACTCTCGATTATAAAAATGCGGACATTATAAGATCCTTGTGTTTACGTACTTGTGAATTTAGGAAGTAAATGATTATTAGACAACACCATGCATGATTAGCAAACTATAACTTGTTAACGTTAAGCACGCTGAAAATTTATGAGTTTTATGTATTGGAATGTTGATCTATTTAGCTTTGAAGAATGAGCCAAATTGACTTTCAAAAGAAAATATATGACAACTAATTTGAGACCAAAAAAATACAATTTTATTGAAATAATGTAGATTAAAAGTTCTTTTTCAAAAATTTTACCTCCCCTTTGTATTACTTTTCCTTCTTTTCTTTTACTTTCTATAGTTAATTTCCTTTCTTTGTTTTTTTTCAAAACTTTTACCGTAAACCAAGTCGATAAATATTTATTTAAGTATAAATCATTTCATAAAGATAAAATACTAGTACTAGTAATAAGGAATACTAAAATGTGTGAATTTCGAGGGAAGTTCTCATCGAAACGCCATTGGAAGTTATTTTCAACGAAAATCTGTCCAAAACATTTTTAACAAGTCAATTTCCATTGAATTCCATCGAAAGTTCACATATTTTTTTTGTGAATACATGTCTAGACATTTTAATTTGTCTTTATTAAATCAGTTGAATACTTCAACTTATAAAATTATTATCTAGACCATTTCGAAAATTTATGTGTCACATCAGCATCAGATATTTAGAAGACATAGTAGAGACGACTTGGAATGTTCAGTTGTCAGTTGAGACCAAGTTAAACCGTTTAAATGTGCATTCTCAAAATTATGTTAAAGTGTTTACTTAACAACTAATCAAGTTTGAGTGTCTGTTTATGTATTATGCCTTTTGAAATCGTATCAAATTCAATATCTAATTATTCTATGATTTGCCTTTCTAGTATTTCCAAGACATTGGAGAGATACCACAGATACAATTATGGTACACTTGAAGGAACCCAAACTTCACCAGATTCACAGGTTTTATTTGTTCTTTTTCCTTAATCAAACATCATATATATATATATATAAATTACTCAAAAGTTTTCTGAGAAAACATGAAAAAATTCAAATTTTTTTACCTATAGTTTCTAAAGTTAAGAGTTAATGGTCAAGTACACACTCAAATTATCATCTTTCCGTGAGTTATATATATTAATTATTCATTATTCTCTTTATCTACCTAAACTATCACTCTATTTGTATTAAAACACACCTCGATACTTAGTCAGTCAAATATTTGTTCTTATTCAACAACATGCGTGTGTATGCCAACTTAACATTGATGTGTGTTTTAATATAAACTAAGTGAAAGTTGAAGTATGAAACTTGCGAAAATATGATAGTTTAAGCATATAAATAGAATAATAGATAGCTGAAGTATGAAACTCTCGGAAATATGATAGTTGAGATCTATTTTTTTTCATCATTAACTCTACCACTAAATTAAAGTTAATGTTGATGGCTAATTAAAATTGATTTGCTTGTTGTGATATTGTTAAAAATAGAACAACTACCAAGAGTATTTGAAGCTTAAAGCAAGAGTGGAAGTGTTACAACAGTCTCAAAGGTGAGAAAACAATACTTATATTTAGACCAAGATTATTAGATTAATTTTCAACTCTGAATGCACTAAGCTATTGCTATATATACGAGAGTTCGCGGAAAATGATCGAACCATATTAGGTTTGTTGTTGCCTAGCTTTACTATTTCAACGACTTGAATGTGTGACCTAGCTCCTGATCACACGTCAACAACTCTAGACAATTCATTCTCTATAATTTATATAAAATAACTTTTTCATTTGTTTAGGCATTTGCTAGGGGAGGATTTGGGACAATTGGGCACAAAAGACTTGGAACAGCTTGAACGTCAATTGGATTCATCATTGAGGCAAATTAGGTCAACAAAGGTATTACTTTTATTTTAAAAAATGACCAATAATTTAAGATAATTATTTTTAAAAATTACGAACAAATAATTTGAGACAGAAAGAGTGTCTACTAAGGTCTTAATTAATCAACTATTTTTTTTAATCTTGTTTTCAGACACAACACATTCTTGATCAACTTGCTGAACTTCAACAAAAGGTACATGATGTATAGAAATTAATTAAGATGACATTTGATTATTTTAATTTTCTCAAATTATATTGGAAACATAATTTTCTCAAGAAGATGTGCAATTACTTCTTGTACAGGAACAATCTCTTACTGAAATGAACAAATCTTTGAGAATAAAGGTAACAATAATAACTTAGACTATAGTTTTGGCTTAATTTTGATTCACAAATTACTTGAGATCGATCACTGACTTTATCTACTATAACACTAAAGTCACATTACAATTTCTTGTCTCACTAAAGTAACTTCACTATCATAGTTGTAGAGTCACAAAATTATTTTTGTTACGTACGTTACAATAATTGAACTGAGTATATGAATTGTTATCGTGGATAAAGTTCATTAATCGATCATATTTCGTGTTCATATTATTGATCTTTTAACAATAATTATCTATGGAAATTTTGTTAATTTCAGTTGGAAGAACTTGGTGTTGCCTTTCAAACATCATGGCATTCTGGTGAGCAAAGTGTACAATATAGACATGAGCAGCCTTCTCAGCATGAGGGATTTTTTCAACATGTAAATTGCAATAATACAATGCCTATAAGGTAATATTGAAAATTTCTAGCTTTTCATGAATTATTTTTATATAAATTTATCCAAAAGACATATAAGGCACACTCAATGCACACAACAACAATAATAACGTACCTGTGTAACCTCACAAGTAGGGTTTGAAAAGGGACGCATCAGTCTTACCCTTATCTCGTGAAGATAGACAAGTTGTTTATAATTGACCTCAGCTCTAGTAAAGCATATCAACAGAACACACACACAAATCTAATAATTAACTAATTAACGAGCTATAAGGATAACTAAAGCCATCTATACCCAATCGAAAAAAAGATATTATTGCTATTTGCTATTATTTTTAAACGCATTTCAAGTAATTGTAGTGGAACATACTAACACATTACATAGTACATACCATATATCATGGGGTGTTTCACCTAAATGTCGAGTTTTTTCTATAGTCAACTCGATGTTAAATACATGTAAGATAATGTTAAAAACTTGATTTTATTGGGAAAATAGGTCATTTATATCTTATCAGTCAAACGTGGAGTATATCATGTACACACATTTTTAAAAAAAAATCTTATTATAAACATGCATATATTTTGAATTCAGAAGCACTAATTACACTTTTGACTTTATAGTCTACTTGTTTAGGACTGAGACACGGTTATATATTGTTGATTTAGTTACAGGTACGATAACGTACAACCTGAAAATGCAGCACCATCAACACATGATGCTGCTGGAGTTGTACCTGGATGGATGCTTTGAATTTGGAGTATGGAGAAAAAAAATCATCTTACTTTGTACAAGTTATTTATTTTTATTACATAAGTTAGATGGAAAATTATATATGTGGATACCACAATCAATACAATATCTTCATAGTTTCAAAAACTTATATTTTCCATCTTGGATTATGTAGATAATGTTTGTGACATATAATATTGTGATGTATTTATTGTCAAGAAGAGTCTAGCAATAACACTATATTTTTGAATTACTATTTACTTCTTTTTTCTTTGTGTTCAAGTTGAGGCCACATGAACCCATTTAAGAAAATTAAAAAAATTAAAAACCTCAAAAAAATTGGAGGTTTTTATTTCTTATTGATGTGGGATTTATTCATTCTTCACCTCCACCCCCTTTTACGCTTGGATTTGAATATTTTTTATCTGAGATTCTATTGTCTAGTTTAATAAATGCACATTCATATATCAAGGATATTTTCATCCCGCAATTGTTCAAGACCTTTGAGAAGGTTTTATTTATCAGATCAAATCTAATTATAATATCATGCTAAATTAGATATTCAGACCGACTCAAATAAGAAAAATTATCCAAACTTTATAAGAAATTAGAAAAAGGGATATAATCAAAATTTAGAAAAAGTACATTTAAATTATAATTTTCTTAGTAAGATCATATAATCAAAACAACTTCAACTATAAATTTTTTATTTAAAGTGAATAATATTTAATTTTCACGAACATAAATTCTATTTTTTATTTTTATTTTAAAAGGAGGAGAAATAGGCTTCAACAATGTGTTGAAAAGACAGAATAGCATAAGGCACAGAACATTATCTTAAAAATCTGTGATAGACATGATATATCCACCATACAAAAATGAATACCATACTATGTTGTCCTTTCAACCAATCAAAACTCGACACCACATTCTTAAAAACCATCTGGTTTTTATTTTAAATAATTATAATACCATTTTCATAGTACTTGTCTACTCCTTAAATTTTTATTTATTATTTACACCATTTTCCACACCTATTCTATCCTATTATACTCTATTTAATAAACAACCAAATTATTGACATATTTTTCTTTTTAATTTCTCAAAATATAGTTTTCTACGTTTTCTTTTATGTGGTATTATTTGACTTGGCAAATATTTAAGAAGAAAAAAATGAAAAGTTTCGAAATTGATGGTCTAAATTAATTCTTAAATAATAGTGTGACAATAAATTATTTTATTAAGCGCAAAAAGGAAAATTTTAAAATTAAATTGTTTTTAATTATAGAAAAGTGATATTTTTTTTTGAGACGGATTAAAAAGAAAAGAGCGTCACCTAAAATAGAACACTGAGAGTACTCACTTTCATATGGAATTGTTTTCATGTTTTACTTTATAAGAATTAATTTGACTAAAATTAAATTAGATTTAAATTAATTTAATATTTAATTAAATTAAAATTATAGGAAAAATATTATAAATCGTAATATTTCTTATATCAATAAAATGAAAAATATATTTTAAATATTGATTAAAGTTTGTATTGTTCAACTCCTACAAACTCATCGGCGCCTCCTAAAGTTGACAGTAATTTTTACCTATACACTTTAACTAGATTCTGTTCATTTTAGACACCTCATGTCAGATCCATCGATGGAATAGGTAATTTTTTATATTTAATAAAATAATTTTGAGTTGTACAAATTAAATGTCTAATAGTAGTTAGATTGGCCAACTTTTAAAGGAAATTGTTGTGTTTGGCCAAACTTTTAAGGAAAAAAATGTGTTTTTGAATTTTGAGTAGTACGTATAGTAGCGCAAAATGGAAAGTATTTTCAAAACTTTGTTCAAGCATAAATTGTTGTTATAGTATTAACACAAAAAAAAATTCAAATTAATATTAGTGATTCAAAAATTGATACTCTCCAAAAGTTTTTTTTTGAATAATATTTTAAATAAAATATATTTTTCAAAAACAAGTTCATTTTGATAGTTTAATTAGCTAAACAAGACATAATTAAGACTTGTCTTAGATTCAAGTTCAAAAAATACTTCCATTTTTTTCTTAGATTGCATTTCCTATCAAATCAGAGGTGGAATTACGTCGCAGTTAAACCAAGTACACTATTCAACCCTTTTGGAACATGTAAGTTTTAAGAGAAAATATTAAATCAATTCTAAAAAGCATATACATAAAACATCTCATTTGACAGAAAGACCACGATTTCACATACATTAATATTTTTGAAAGAGGTACACCATCCAGCGCCACATAAATTAAAACAAATGAAATAGAAAGAAACTAAAATTACAATATATATATATATA